AACAGTTACAACGGTGAGTAACCGTCTTTTTTCAAGTATATAAAATATTGTTACAAGGAAGTGGGAGAGCAATTGTTCTCCTTTACCTCTGAGGACAGGACAAGAAGCAATGGGCTTAAATGTCAGCAAGGGACGTTTCGGTTGGACATTATGAAAAACTTCCTAACTGTCAGGGTGGTTAAGCACTGGAATAAATTGCCTAGGGAGGTTGCGGAGACTTTGTCATTGGAGGTTTTTAAGAGCAGGTCAGACAAACACCTGTCAGGGATGGTCTAGATAATACTTAGTCCTGCCATGAGTGCAGGGGACTGGACTAGATGACCTCTCGAGGTCCCTTCCAGTCCTATGGTTCTATGATTTGCTCATTCTGAAGCTTTGCACATTTGGGCTCAGATTCCAAAGAGCTGAAGTGCAGGGCTGTGCGTGTTTGGACAGGAATCTCTTCTAGCATCCCAGCAGGGGCTCAGGGTTCATGGGCGACTTGGTCATCGCTGCGATTCAAATGTTCTTAATGCAACCATCTGCTCTGCAACTAGGCAATAAATCAGGGCTTTGTTTCTCCTTTGGCTCCTTCTGATTCCAGGGTCTTGGATTAGACCATCTGGGTTCTAGTCCCAGCTCTGGGGGACAGCATGTTCTGATAATAAAACAAGGAGAGGATTAGGAATCTCTTCATCCCATTGGGCCTCAGTTTCCCCATCTTCATAGATTCCAAGGCCAGAAGGGACCAGTGTGATCATATAATCTGACCTGCTATATAAACACAGGCCACAGAACTGCCCCCAAAATAAACCTCAGAGCAGATATTTTAGAAACACATCCACTCAATTTAAAAATGGTCAGAGATGGAGAATCCACCAAGAACCTTGGGTTATTCTACCAGTGGTTAATTACCCTCACTGTTAACAAATTTATGCCTTATTTCCAGTTTAAATTTGTCTCGCTTCAACTTCAAGCCACTGGGTTGTGTTAGACCTTCCTCTGCTAGATTGAAGAGCCCGTTATTACATTTGTTCCCCATGTAGGTATCAAGTCACCTCTTCCCCTTCTCTTTGTTTAGCTGAAGAGAGAGCAGTGTAGCCTTTTATTTTATTTCAAGTGAGTTTTGTAATGTGGTGTTACACCACTGTGCGTTCTGATGTGGTCCCTACAGTTTCAAGCTTAACGGAGTAAGCTCTGCTTCTCGCTACAGATTTAGAGTCTCTAGGAATGAACAAAGACTAAGGGTAGTGACCACACAGACATTTACCAGTACAAAGTCTATCTGTTTTACAAGTTTTATTAAGGTTATGAATACCCCTGCATATAGAAATCCCACACAGACATATGCACAAGTTACAAATATACTCACAACCTTAACGGTAGTGTTAGGGTCTGATGGGTCTCGCATGGATTGCCCATCAATAGAGGGATGGTTCCTGCTGGACTTTCCCGTAGGGAGCTCAATTTCCCCGCTCTGGGCATCCTCTTTACAATGTGATTCGGTCTATACCTACATTCTGCACATGTCCATGCATGTAGTGTCAACCCTCTTTTTCCTTATTGGTCTGATGTCCCCTAGAAACGTACAGTACCCCGATTTCTATAGGTCGTGTAGGTTCTCTTTATTCTCATTAGCATTAATACACAACCCGTGTCCTGTGATGAAGGCACATGTTGGAAACAGATGTGCCTTTACAGCATTTTTATGATTTAAAATTAATCTTCTGGCTAGATTTTCACAATATCACCACTTGGTACCTCTTTTCCCGTAATCTTAGGGCATCGGGTTATTCTTCGGTCATTTTTTTATGTCAGTATTTCTTAGCTCCAACAGCTAAGCTAAAATCTTGCAGGCCTCAGCCTGCAGCCTTGTGTTTCAGACCTCGTTACTTAGATACCGAATACATAATTAACTCTTCCGGCTACTAATCATTCTTATACTTCTATTATCCTACCACTTAACTCTATTGAGCATACAATGATTATATACGACGTAACCTGCTAGTTGATTATAACCATACAAGAAATGAGCAATAAACTAACACTATTGGCTAGAGAAGCTTTATAATGATCAACGAAAGGAGCTCAAACTTTCATTGAATTCAATGGGAGTTAGGAGCCGAAATACCTTTGTGGATCTGGGCGTTGGTGGTGTTAAATCGGCAGTGAGCGAGAGAGGAATCGGCCACAAGAAGAGAGCAGAGGTGGAATGATCCTGGCAAAGCTCCCAGTGACTTCAAGGGGGGCCAGAATCTCCCCGGAGACTTGTGGGGCCTGAATAATGGGGAGTGGTTATCAGAATGGGGGAAGACGGATGCCGAGACACCCTAGCTCAGTTCATGTCCTGGGAGGTTTTGCTGTGATGGCTGACAGCCCGGGGACTGAACTGGGGACCTCCGGAGCTAAAAGCAAGAGCTGCTACCACTTGAGATAAGGAGCCATCCCATGAGATTAGTAGAGGCACTCAGCCCTGGGTTACACTGTCATCAAGGCCCCCATCCCAGCATCCCATCACTGCGAGAGGAAGGTCTCTCTAATCCATCTATCACCACCTTTCTCCTTCGCTCTGCAGGTTCCGGGTCTCAGGCCCTGTTGCCTCCAACAACTGTGGGGTGTTAAAGGGGAACTGGATCAACTCGGAAACCTGCCGCGCCGAATTCAAGTGGATTTGCCAGAAAGACGCTGTCGTGGTGTGAGGCAAATGAGAACGTCTGTGCCCAGGAGAGCGCTCCTGCCCCATGAGGATGAATTCGAAGGGCTTTATATAGAGACGCTGCCCTCTTTCTCTAAGCTGATGCGGAGCAACAGTTGCAAAATATGGGAATTTGAGTCCTTCATCTAGTCCCTTTGTTCCCTAGTGCTGCTGGGAGCAGAGCACAAGGGGGGGAAGGGGGGGGGGAAATCAATGTTAGCCCAGTGGGTAGAGAGGAAAGCAGGAAAGGTATATTCTATTCCTGACTTGGCCACATGTGACCTGGAGCCTCCGTGTCTCAGTTTCCCCACCTATAAAATGGGGTAATGATACTGAACTCTGTGAAGTGCTTTGAAATCTATAGGGGCAAAATGGTTAGGTGGGAGTCCCGAGCTTGCATGCCTTAGGATGAGCAAAGGACAGGGGACGTACTGGGTGCGTCTACACCACGTCTGGGAGCAAGCGCCCCAGAGAGGGTCCACAGACTCGTGCTAAAAGGAGCTGTGTAGATGTTGCGGCTCGGGCCGGAGCTTGGGCTCTCGAAGGCTGGAGCTGCGCCATCAATGCGGCTATTTTTATCACGCCAGCGCAAGCTCTGCTAGCGCAAGTCTGTGCCCCCAGGCTGTGAGGCTCGCTCCCTGCTGCGGTGTGGATGTACCCAGCGGAAGTGCCCGCCCTGGCCCTGCTCCCTGGCAGGAGCGCTGGGGGGAGTGAGGGGGACTGCAGGTGCCCCACAGCCACACTAATCCCTAATTTGCCTCTGTTTGTGGGGACTGGAAGAATGCAAGGAGTCGCTGGTGCCCAACCTACACAAGCTGTGAAGGGCACGACGGCCGCAGTAGCTGTATAACCATATAGATTAAAAACAGTCTTACTCCTTAACCCAGGAGCTCTAGCAGCATTCAATGGTTGTAATTTCCATGCATAACATCAGTTTAGTTTTAAGCATTTTTTCTATTTGTGTCCATTTAAATGTTCATATTTCTGGGAAGTTGGGGGGCGGGGGAGGGCTCTTGGGGGGCGGGGGAGGGCTCAGCCAATGAGGGGGCCTGACCATCATTAATGACAATAGACGTTAAGACTCAAGCAATTAAAGCTTTCTCTGACTGTTAAACACAAATTGTAAATTTTACGTATGGGATGCTGACAAAATAAACAGCCTGCATACGTTCTCAAGCCGCATTTGTCTTACTTAGCCTAGCCGCAAAGCTCGATGGAAATATTTTTTCCTATCCGTGTGTGTGTGTGTGTATATACAGTGGGATCGACTTTTACCGACATTTACTGATAAAAATCCAACGTTTGTGAGCCTAATTAGACCTGTACGAAATCTGCGTGGAGCAGGCCTTAGCCAGCTTGGAAGCAGTTTGAGGCAGGGACTGTCTCTTTGTGGTGTACGTGCAGCTCCCAGTGGGCCCTGAACTTGGCAGTGGGCTCTGAGCAAGGGTTTAATTAAACTCATAGACTTTTAGGCCAGAAGGGCCCATTATGACCATCCAGTCTGACCTCCTGCTCATTGCAGGCCACAGAACCTCGCCCCCCACTCCTGGGATAGAGCCCTGCTTCTGGAGTTGCTCTCCTCGCTCCAGAGCATGGCATTTAAAGCAGCTAGTCAATATCTGTTCTATAGGAAGCAGCAGCGGCAGCTGAAGAGAGGGGATTTGCTTCACTCCAGTAAAGCTTGCAGGGCCCCATTTTGTTTCCTCTTTGCCAGTTCGTCCGGCTGGCTGCAGATCCATCTCATGGGGGTGCGGCCCTCTGAGCTGCTGGGGCGGTCGTTGAGATATACATATAGTCCATCTCCGTTCACTGTGAACCTACAATGGAGGGAGAGTCACTCATCAGCTGACTCACACAGGAAGCATCCAAACACCGGACCCTCTGTGTAATTGCTGCACTCGCAGGTCTGATCTACAAGGGCAGGGCCCATTTCTTTGTTCTAGGTTTGTACAGCACCTAGCGCAATGGGATCCTGTTCCATGAATGAGGCTCCCACAATACAATTAATCGGTAAAAAACAACCAAGTTACAGTTCTCTCATCAGAGGTGGTTATAACTGACCCGGTTAAATGGTGTTCACAGACCATGTGTCACCACATTTGCATGGACACTTAGCATGGACACATTTGCATGCCTGAGCTGTAGCGGTGCATTCTGGGAAAATCTAAGCAGCTGTGCTGGAGAGAATGGCCTTCTGGGTAAGGCACTAGGCTGGGACTCAGGGAACCTCTGTTCAAAGATCTCAGCCTTAACCATTCCTAGAGCACCTGAGGCAAGCTGAACAGATTTTCCCATGGGAGACTCTCACAGAAGCCTTTTCTACGCTAGGGATATTTATCATAGCAAGAACCATTCTGACCCATAAAGAGGGTAAATGAACAGATTTTCTGGTACTTTGGCAATTTCATAAAATAAAAAAAACACCTCATTTTGGGTCAAACAAAATGTTTTGACAAAAATTGAAATGTTTTATTTGGCTGTCAGCTAGTTTTTGAATATTTGATTTTTTTAAAAATAAAAGTAAAGAAACTTTTGCAATGAAAATTTGTTTGAAACCAAAACTTTTTTTTTTTTTAAATGAGCAATCTAGTGAACCTGACAGGAAATCGCCAAACATTGCTGCGTTCCCAAATGGCTTTGGGGAGAACTTTTTAAACCAATTGTTATTTGTGTCAGTGTGAATCGCACCTGGCACGTTATTGGTGATATACAAACAGTAAATATTAGAACTGCTCAAAACAGATTATGCAACATTTTGAGAGGCTGTTGTTCACCCTTCACCCCATTTCTCCGGGGAAGTCATTCTTGCCTGCCGTCAGGGGCGGATACCCATCTGACCCCCAGAAAGTCACCCCTTTACCCACCTAACCTGGCCCTTTAGCAGGAAACAAATCAAGCAAATTTGTGATGCTGTGACTGGAAAGTATTTTTTTCATGGTAGCTACATTTTGCCTTCTGGTTTTTGGTGACTTTAGTATTATGATCTATTATAAATAAAGTGCATTTCATTGATTCATTTTAAAATGAAATTAGTAACTGGAAAAAATGGCCAGTATTTTTTTTTTAACCTGTGACAATTATAAACTACTGTATTCTGTCATTTACTTTCTAGAATCTAAAGTATATCTAAGTATAATCTAAAGTTCTCCTGCAAAATGTCGGCTGTGCAAATCCTTCCATGGCTGGATCATTCTTGTGTTTTTATTTTAAGTACAAAATAAATATGTATAACGAATTTAAAAGTATGTAATTAGTCATTTGATATGTTGGGTGGCACCTTTTTTATGTGTTCGCTCCCCCTGATTTAGAACCTGGCTATGCCACTGGCTTGAGCCAAAAAGTTTTATCCATCTCTCTTTCTAATGTGCTTCAGGCCAATTGTATGTGGCCCTGCCCCTTGCATGGTCATTTTCACCACTGGAAAGTGGCTGAATCAGCAAGGAAGCATTTCACAATCGTTTTGCACTGGTATGAAATCACTGCAGAAAGTGCAGGGGGAAATGTGACTAGCCCAGTGCTACTTTTTATCGCTCGCTAGTGGCGGGACCCAGTGAAAGGTTTATAAGTCTGCTCCTGCCTGTTAACAAACGTGGGTCTTTAGCTCGAGCAGTAGAGACTCATGTTTTACATCCAGAGATCCGCAGCTCAATCCCAGCCAGGGTGTTGTTACACAGGGCAATATCTTCCCACAAAAGGTGCTGCAGTTGTCGTACAAGTGTCCAGAGAATGAGATTGCTACATGTATACCCCACTGACTGTACTCAGAGAAGGGACCTGACCCTCTGCACAAAATGAGGGGGACACCCCTGGGGTAAAGGGTTGTTGTAGCACCTGTAATACCTGAAAGATCGTCAGCTCTGACTATCAGGTGAGAGCCCTAACTTCTGGCCCAACCGTGAATAGGCTGTTAGCATAAAGCACTCACAGGCGGTTGTTGAATTCTGTACCATCCGCCCATCTCCAGGGCTGGGACGTGTCCCTTCTGAGGCCGATCCAGTGTGCAGGGGAGCCTTTATATTGCTGCAGGAAATCCTTTAAAAACAACAAAGGGCAGAGGATTAGGATGCGGGGGGATGAGGGCTCTGTCTGGGGCTGGGGATGAGGGGTTTGGGGTGTGGGAGGGGCTCAGGGCTAGGGCAGAGGGTTGGGGTGCGGGGGGTGAGGGCTCTGGCTGGGGGTGCAGGCTCTGGGGTAGGGTGGGGCTGGAGATCAGGAGTTTGGGGTGCAGGCAGGCTGCCCCGGGGCTGGGGCCAGAGAGGCGGACTCCCCCCAGCCCTCTCCCTGCTGGCAGCACTGAGCTCTGGGGGAGGGGGCCCCCCCTCTCCCCTGGTAGCACACTCACCTTGCACCATTGTCACTGCATGTGCTCCTAGGGCCCCTCTCAGGCCCAGGAAGCCCCCTCGCCATGTGCGCCTCCTCCCCTGCTGCTGCCTCTCACTGTAGCCTCACTGGGGGTGAGGGATGGGGCTGCCCCTTGCCCAGCGTGGGACAGGAGCAGTGACTGTGGGAGGGGGGACCCCCTGTGCTGGTGGAGGGTCCCACTGGAAAAGGGAAGGGTTCAAGGCAGAAGGGCAGGGTAAGGGCAGCCTGCCCTGCCACTTGTGGTAGAGGGGCACTAGGACCCTGCGGCAGCAATGGATGCCAGGAGCCGGCAGAGCAGAGTCAGCGTGGAGCTGCAGGCTCTAGGGGGCGGTGCGCGGGGGCAGATACAACTCGCTGCCCTGACAAAGGCCTTAAAGGGATGGGACCGTGGAGGCTGCTCCACTCTCCAAGACAGCTGGACAGACACAGATTGGGGCCAGTGCCATGACCTCCGCTGTAGAATTCCTTGCTGGGAGAGATCAGAACTGACCCGAACCTGGACTGTGCTCAGATCTACGTGCCAGGTGCACTTAAGGAGCCGATTCATAATAACTTTGAATATAAACTATGTGAATCTATTATTTGTGTATGGCAGTAGCCCCAACTGATATTCGGGGCCCACTGGGTATTGCACAGACACACAGTGACAGTCCCTGCCCCCGCTGAGATCAGGGCCCCGTTGTGCCGGGCGCTGCACAGACACACAGGGAGAAACAGTCCCTGCCCAGGAGAGCTCACAGTCTAAATAGACAAAGGGAGGACTGTTATGTGATCCAGGAAACCATCTAACCCTCAACTTTCATTGTCTGAGCTCCCAGCACTGGTACCCCAGAGCAGGACAGGCCTCATTCCACTATTGTCTGCGCTGCCACATCCGCCTAATTGTATCTCACAGAGAACCTGTATCTCTGCCTTACCAGGTCTTTCTGGGTGTCAATCACAGCCAGGGAGGCATTGAGTGAAGAGCAGTTGCTCTGGCTTTCGTTCCAGGTCCCGTCCGCCTTTGAGAAGAGATAGCATTTCCCCTGGTAGCCAATCCAGTCATCTGGGCATGCGGCAGTGGGAAGGTCCAGTGGACAGGAATGATGTTTGGAGGCTACCACTGAAAGTTAGCAAGCAGCAGAGTGGTTAGGCATTCTCCCCTCCCCACTGCCTGTTTTAATTGCCCCCCCCCCCAACACACACACACACACATACAGACATATGTTTCTAGGAATAATCCTAGCCCTTATCCAGTACTTCATCTGTAGAGCTCAAGGCTCCTTATAAAGAAATTCAGTGTCATTATTCCCATTTTACAGATGGGAAAACTGAGTCACAGGGTGGGAAAGTGACTGGCCTAAGGTCACCCAGCAGACTGACAGAGCTGAGAACAGACCCCACTTCTTCGGAGTCCAAGCCCATCTTGTAAGCACTTGTTGCTCTGAGTTACAGGCAGGAAAGTTGGCATTTGAAATGAAAGTGATCAATACTGCAGATAAAACTGATCCCAAAGCAGACTCAATTACCCATATTTATATAGGAAATCAGGGCCTGGGTTACTGCCCCAGCAGCAGGGCATCGGCACCTGTAGTTCACAGAATCAACCACTGTGTGTCACTCAAGATACAAGAAAGAAGCTACGAGAACTGCTAGTCTAACGGATGGAGTCAGGACTGGATTCTGAGCTCAGTGACTTGGAGGTAAAACCGGAGTCAGTGGATCCAGGTTTGGATTCTGATCTCAGTGACTCTGATGTAAATGTAGAGTGATCCCACCAAAGTCAATGATGCCTGGGACAGATTCTGATCTGTTATCCTGGTGTAAATGCAGTGTCACTCCGCAAAACTCTTCGGAGTTATTCTGGATTGTAGCTCACAGCAGAATCTGTCAGAAGGTCACAGCCACACCATTCTCCACCCCAGAGGCTGACACAGCAGATTCACAGGCCCTGGTCATAGCCCAGCCATTTATCACATCACCCCTGCATGCTAATACCTGTGAGGTTAAGCATGGATTCGTCTACCAGCCCCTCTTGACTGCCCTCTCTGGCAGAGAAGAGGCGCAAGAGATCTTGGTAAGGCAGCAGGAATTTTACTGCCTTATGGCCTGTGCATGCCACTGATTGGAAGTAGTCCCATGTTCCCCTTATACCCAGATCACAGGTGTCTGAGCCTGGGCAGTTATATTGAACAAAGCTGTGTAAGGGACCAAATAGCTGAGAACTGTGAAAACTCGACTCACCTCGACATTTCCTTCATCCGCTAGGAAAGCAGTAAAAGGAGAACAAAATGAACCCAAATTTAACCCTTTCAGTCCAGCAAAGCTTCCATGGTATAATCCCTTACGGCAGCAGGGAGGGAACTAAAGGGCCAGGGAAGTGGTTTTCTGATCAGACTTGGGGCTCTGAGAGCATCAGAATGATCTGAGATGGGCTGATATTTCCAATCAAGCTGGAAATAAAACACAACTTTTTAACAGTCAGGGAGAGTAACCATCAGAGTAACTCCCTATGGGCGGGGGCAGATTCTCCATCACTTGCCTGGAGATTGGATTGGTCTCTCTTAAAGGTTTGGATTCAGATCCTCAGCTGATGCAAGCCAGCAGTGTAAACAGAGCTATGTTGATTTACACCAGCCTGCTCTAGTTAAATTGGTCAGCAATTCCCCTCCATCCCCCCCCATGGAAATTCATTGATATTTTTGGTGAAAATTGGAATAGTGAGAAAATCAGCAAAAAGATAAAGTTCCTCATGGGAGTTGAAGTTCAGGTGCCCCATGCTCCCATTCTCTTCTATAGGCCAGGCTCCCTGGTTGAACTATATTTCCCATGATGCATCATGTTTCCCCCCCCTTTTGGAGAAGGGTGACAGTGTGCATCATGGGAGTCCCTGGCAATGATGCATCATGGGAGATGTAGTCTGGCCCACTAAGGAGAATGATGTCATGAGAGTCATAGCTCAGTTGTCTCATCCCCAGGTTTAAATTCTCGTACTGTATTTCCTGGCACCCAGGACTCAGGGTTTCTGCCCCACAGAGGGTACCGGGGCTCGAACCTTTGAAAATATTTATCAGAGCTGCACTCCGGACAGCTCGGGCTGAATTTAAGCCCTGTTCTTGCCTTTATTTATGACCTGTTTCTTTACCTTTACAGCCTGGAGGTTGTGTTGTAATAGGTTTTTGCATTGCTTAATGGAGCATGTTCTATAGACAAAGGGCCAACCCCTCGGCTGGTGTCAAGCAGCCGAGCTCCATTGAATAATAATAATCTCTCGCTCTTCTAAACACTTTTCATTCACAGCTCAAAGCACTTTGCAAAGGGAGATCAGGATCCCCATTTTACAAATGGGAAAACGGAGGCACCAAGGCATGAAGTGACTTGCTCAAGGTCACCAGCTGGCTCGTGGCAGAGCCAAGAAAACAACCCAAGTCTCCTGTGTCCCAGGCCAGTGCCCTATCTACTAGGCCACACTGCCTCCCAGCATCAAGGAAGCTACCCCGATTAGTGCCAACTGAGAACCTGGCATGTGCCAGCTACATGCATTCTGCTGTGGGAGTGACTGGGGGGGTCTGATGAATGGAGAGCCCTGCAGAAAAGCAGGGCAGTGGCCACTCCGAGGTGTTGGGAGCCCCAGAAATAATCAGAGCCAGCGCCTGTAATCAGACCGGAGATCGTGAGTGAGACAGAGCTGCCGGGGAACCGGAACAAAGAGCCAGGAGCGGAGAACTCACCTGCCAAAGCTACAACTAGGGCAATAATGATGCTCACAACTGCCATGAATCCGATGGCGCATCGAGACCGGTTCCTGGCCCTGGCCGGAGGCTGAGCTGAAAACGTTAAAGCAGCTGTTTACATTCCCTGTGGTACTTGGGAAGAGACGATGAGGGATCAAACTTCGGATCATCACAGCAATTAAGAGCTGGGCTACAGAACGGAGGCAGCGGTAGAGGGGATGATGGGGTCAGAATGGCAGGCCAGGAAGGTGACCGGAGCGGCAGAATTCGGAAAGGACAGCTTATGCCATTTGCTGATTTCAGGCCAAAGTTTTCAAACCTGGATGCTTCAGTCAGACTCCCGTATCCGCAGTTAGGCATCTAAACAAGAAGCTGATTGCCAGCAGTCTGGCGCTCCCATTGAGGCCAAGGAGAATATCAGCACCTTTGAACACAGAAATAGCCACCCTGGATCAGATGCAGGGTCCGGCTAGCCCAGTCACTTCAGCCTGGAGCCACAAGGGACGTAGCTGCCTCAATCTGGGATTAGGCACCTAAATCCAAGGTTCAGGTACTGCTGCGATGCACAAACCCCCCCTGCTCTGCTGCGTCTAACCCTGCAGATGCCTAAACTAATTCAGCACCTAGGGTAAGTGTCTAAGTTTCTGCCTATGGGCATGTGCACTGTCAGTCTAGACACCCAGACACCTAACTCCTGCCTCAGCTCCAGAGTGATTCAAAACCAGAGGGATGACCAGAGCCCCTCCTCCTACCTTGCCTGATCCAGTATGTGTGCTCAGAGGCCACCTAGCTGAGGAAGACCTCTCTTTAGCCTAGTAGTTAAGCTACTCACCTAGCACAGAGGGGATCCCCAGTACACGTTCCCCCACAAAGGGATTTGAACAGGACTCTGCTACCTCTCCAGTGGATTCCTGAACCATTGAGCGATGGGCTATTCTGACGCAAGTCTCGCTTGGTGACACTGTTCATCTTTAAATAATTGAACTGTTAAATGGGCCAGAGACCATGTGAGATTGACTCCTTAGCCCCGTGGTTAGGTCCTCACCAGAGAGGCAGCAGATCCCTGTTCAAATCAGCCGGAGGAGGATTTGAAGGGGAGTCTCCCACATCCCAGGTGAGTACCAAAAACGACTTGGGCACCTCAGCCACCTGACGCCAGGAGAGGGCCCCCAGCTCCGTGAGGGGGTGGGACTGAGGACAACCCCCCCCCCCCGCCCCTGCTCAGCATCTCCCATGGGCTAGCTTAGGTGTCTCCCTGTCTAGCGGGCTGCCTTTTGTGGATCCCATTCTGAGGTGCCCCTCTCCCCACAGGCAGTGGACAGGAAGCCGAGGCTCCTAACCCAGACCTGGTGGATCCCGGTGATTTTTCTAGGCACCTAAAAGATGGGCGATATGACGCTTTGCTTTGCAGCGCCTAAGTCCCTATGTGGATCTGGCCCCTTGTCTCCCTTGGCCTCAGTTCCCCACGTGTAACTTCCCTAACCTCACAGTGCGGTTGTGAGGATCAATACACTGACAACTGTAAGGAGCCTTGGTACTACATTAACAGGAGGCCACATAAGTATGTAAGCTGCCTAGATAGGTCACTCAGTGAGAAAGCGTCTCAAGAGATACTTGATACCCTATGGCAATGGAACTATGGAAAAGGAACTAGAAAATTAGACAGACCAGGCTGAAAAGAGACGCAAGGCTGAAGAGACAGAGGAAAACTGGCACATATATAGGACTGACAAGCTTAACGGATAGTTTGGCTCAGTGGGTAGATGACAGATATATCAGGTTTCTGGTTTTCATCCTGGCTGACCCTCTGGCTACTGGAATAGAACTAATTGTGAGGATTTCCTATTTGCAAGTTTTTGAGGGCTGGTCTTTTTTTCTGTTACATGAGTCATGCATATTTCATTGTCTCTTTTCCTTTCACCAACAACGGGAAGGGAAACGCGTGAAGGAAAGAGGCAGTTTTTATTAGAAAGTGAGAGTGTGACATTTTGACTCCAGTGGAGCTACACTGATTCATACCAGCTGGGGATCCGGCCTCATTGACCCCCAAGGAGCTTTAAGTTACGCTGGCAATAGCAGTCCCTATGGCCACTCCACTGGCCTAGAGTCTCCAGAGTATACTGTGCTCCAGCCCTACCCCCTCCTGACTCTGGCAGTCTCCCCTCCCTTGTTGGGCAGAGGGTTAGGAGCAGCTCCACAAGCTAAATTCCCAGCTGCCCACTTTGGGTAGCTTTGCACCATCTAGCACCTAGAAGGGGGATCCAGGATCTGGCCCAATAAGCGAAGGTTTTGATTCACCCTCACCTTTGTGCAGCTTTTAAAATGAAGTTGATGCAGCAGGATGGAAGGGGCTGAAATGACTTACCCTGACCTGTATCTGTAGCAGGATTTGAGCCCTGTAATCTTCATCACTGAGAACATTGGCTGCTATCACTTGAGCTGATGAAGTAAGTCCCGTGGATAGCAGCAGTAGTAGGTTATTATCCTCTAGTAGACCAGCTTCTGGGGTGGGGTATGTGCCACCCACTCCCAACAGCAGGGTTTGAACCCAGAACCTTTAGCTCTAAAAGCAGCTGTTTCAACCACTTGAGTTAAAGAATTAAACCCACAAGACAGCAGTAACAATAGGCTGTTATCCTCCAGTCATGGGTAAAGAATGTAACACTCACTCCACCAGCATGGCTCACTAGCAGGGTTTAAACTGGGGACCCTACTAGACTAGAAAGCCTGGAATGCTCTTAATTGAACTAATGGAAAAAACTTAATTAGCTTACAGAAGTTGTAAGTTGTTATCCTCTAGTGCTACTAAGGGAGAAAGAGAACCAGGTCTACACGTGGGTTACAGTGTCATCAAATATCAGAGGGGTAGCCGTGTTAGTCTGAATCCGTAAAAAGCGAAAAAGAGACCTTTGGCACCTTAATATAGACTAACAGACGTATTAGAGCATATGCCTTCATGGATGAATACCCACTTTGTCGGATTCGTCCGACGAAGTGGGTATTCACCCACGAAAGCTCATGCTCCAATACGTCTGTTAGTCTATAAGGTGCCATGGGACTTTTTTTCACTTTTTACAGTGTCACCAAACTATGCTGAGATGGCTCCCTAGGAAACTGCTTAAGAACAAGATCAAACAGAAGACAACTATACCTTGAGGCTGCTCTGTCAGCACCTGGTTGGAACGGCTGTGTAGCATGTCTCCCGCCTGCTCTTCATTGTACCTGGGCCTCTTGAAGCTGTTCCCCATTCCGTCCACGTCAGAGCACACGTGAGTGAAAGAAAACTAGAGCATAAAGAAGTTTTCCGTTAATTAAATTAAGAGTGCAGGATAAGAGCCAGACAGTCACCAAAATCAGAGCATAACCCACAAATACACTGGGGGCTCTTTGTCCCCTTCTTGTGGCTGTTTCATGATGGCTCTGTTATTATAAGCACCACATAATAGGAAATAAACCCTGGCCCTTCTTTGGTGTGGCAGTCAGACTTGAATTTGGGGGCCCTGATCCCTGACCACGTGCTACTGAACTATAAATTAATAGCGATCTGGCTCCTGGAGAAAAACCCTAGGAGGCAGCAGTGTATTTCAGAGCTCACTACGCCCACTTAAACACACCATGGATGGCTGCGTAATTGTGTCACTCAGCCTCCTACTGCTGGAGCAGCCCGCGCAGCAGACACCTGTGTCTGTAAACTTCCAAGCTCATGTGAGGCGAACCACAGATAATTGTGGTGTGTGTTACATCACAGCTGTAAATCGTTCATTCCAACTCAGTCACTGCCAACAGCTTCTCCGTGACTCAGCTAAGCTTTTAAACACTCAGCGCTTGGCCACATGGGGAAATGGACTGGAATAACCATTTCAGAATACGCTATTTCAGACCAGCTCCCCGTGCAGACAGTATTGTGAAATAAAAACAGGATTTTATTCCAGAAGAATTACTCTACTTGGGATTTTGCACTAATTATTCCAAAATAAGGTGATGTTTGTTCCAGAAGAGAGTGTCTACATGCTCTCCAGAATAGCTACTGCTGTCAATTTCCCTGTGTAGATGAGCCCTTATAAAACTCCCATGGACTTCAATGGGGCAGGATCAATTCAACCCTATAATCTGTTTGACAGTGCACAGCACAATGGGCACCCTGCACCCTCATTTGGGCCTTTGGGTGCTACAGCGATAGAAATAATAATAATAATAAATACATCTCTAATAATGTAACACTCATTTCTTATCTAGTGCTTTTCATCAATAGATCCCAAGTGCTTCACATGTACCCACCCTCCCAACATCCCTGTGAGACAGGGAAATGCTGTTACCCCTATTGTACAGCTGGAGAAACTGAGCCACGAAGATGCTAAGTGACTTGCCCAAGGCCACTCAAGAAGTCTGCGGTGGAGCAGGGGATTGAAGCTGGGTGCCCCAAGGCCTAGCCAGTGCCCTAACCACTAGGTGATCCTTCCTCTAAATAAGAAAAAGATGCCAAGAAACTGAGGTGCTGGAGCTCTGCAAGCGTCTCCTTCACTTAGGAATCATTTCACTGCATTCTAATTCTTGAATCAAAAGTTTCAGTGTAAAAGGTTCTTGGCTAAGAGGGAAGGAAAAGTGCCAGAATCCTGCTACTGGGGTACTCACTCAGGATGAAATTTAAGCTGGGCAAGGGCTATGGAACACATAAATCCCACTTCAAGGCCTTATGTGGGATTTGCGGGATGTCTGGTTAGTACCAATTGCGAATGACTCACCATCCAGAGATCTGCAACACTTTGAACTTCCAGCCATGCCCTGGGTGGCTTGAAATGTTATGAGTCATTAGTGCAATGTGACTTCCAAATAACCTGACCTCAAAGTATATTCCTGCCTCACCTTCACTGACAAAATCACTCCCAATCTCCTGGCTGCATGCACGCTAAACCCCTTCCCTTATGTTCCTACTAGTGGGGGTGCAGCCTTGCTGACACCACCATCAGGGACATGGTGTAGAGGAGCCAGTCAGAGACAGTAAACTCACTGGAGAAAGTATCAGAGGGGTAGCCGTGTTAGTCTGGATCTGTAAAAGCAGCAAAGAGTCCTGTGGCACCTTATAGACTAACAGCCGTATTGGAGCATGAGCTTTCGTGGGTGAATGCCCACTTCTTCACATGCATCCGAAGAGATGGGCA